AGGCACCACTGTATTCTTCACTAACAAGTATGTATTCTTTACTAACAAGTATTTATAGCATGGTCTCTGGCTTTCTCTAGTGGCAATACATGTGTTCCAGCAATACATAGTTTTTTCCTTTAATATTTTTAATATTTTCAGGCTGTGGATAAATGAATCAGTGGATACTAATCCCATGGATAAGGGTGTCCTACTGTATTTTAAGAGTGGTCCTATCAGTTCCAGCCTTTAGCGAGTTTCCACGGCCAAGAAGAGATTTGACCCACTGTCTGCTAAATTCTACTCTGTCACTCTATCCCATACATAACATCAAGGTATCAAAACACAGAGACACAATAATCTACTCTTGTGCTTGTGCATGTAAGCACAAGGGTAGATTACTTCTTTGACAAAATTTATAATTATTCTCTTCTTCCAAATTTGGCTTATTTACTCAATTGCTTGATTTGTGTATTACAATAGTAATGTATCCAATGCTTCCAGATTATATCACAGGGTCACTGTTTGTTGGAAGCAGCTGTCTCTTTGGCTGAATAAATACTAGCCACATGTTACAACCCTTCATTTTTGTGGGATTGTGGCAGAATGGCTGACATCAGGCCAACATAGGAAAGATTTGCACAAAAGCAGCACCCACGTGGTTCCGCTTCCCAGAGGCTTACTGTGCCTGTTTGTAACCTACAGATCAAGCTTTTGTTTTTATGAGTACTGTAAATTTGGAGACAGCTCATATGACCATATTGTAGGCTACCAAATGTTATTCCCACAGGAGGAGCTTCTTCACGGTGATTTTTCCTTCTAATCTAAGGCACGCTCTCTTCCATCAGCTCCCTGTTAATTAAACCACCAGCAGCAGAGAAGTTCTGTTGGCACATGCAATCTAATTATCAGACATCAGTGCTTCAGCTGAAGGTACTATACAGTAAATATTTTATAGAATGCCCCCCCCCCTCTGGCTGTATGCCTTGCATTTTAAAAATTAGGCATAATCGTCAAGAATACACTAGCAATTTGGAGCCGGCTTAGCTTTTCACATATATTACTCATCTTGTCCTGATGTTCTTCTGCCTTATTAATAGTAATTATTACTGATGAATCTTTTGATAATTCTGGTCACCAGGCTTCTGTGTCATGGCAAAAGGAGACCACAGAATCCTGGCAGAACCTAAATGCCATATTAATAAAACAAATGCCTGACAGCAAAGCTTCTCTCTAGTACTCTCTCCTGTGGACACCAAAGGGAGAAGGGGTGAAAGGACCATGGTCTCCTTCAGGAGAAGACAGAGAAAACTACTAAGAGACAAAGAAAGAGTCTGATCATACTAGGAAACCAATTTGGTTCTTGGAAAGAGAACAATAATATTTGTATGCTGCATAAATCAGGGACCTATGCCTTTCCTAAGCAAACAGGAAAAAGCACAAGTAAAACAAGACATTAAAAAAGAGTATACTTGTTTGGTGTTTGATCATACTTAAATAAATTCAACATAGTTTCCACAAATGAAGGAGCAATGCAGAACAGGTACATTTAGCACTAAAACAATTCTCACACCTATAGGACCAGCTGCATCTGTCAATTTTTTTTCCTGAATGCAGATACCACAGCTCTATTCTTCCTTCCTTCCTTCTTTCCTTCCTTCCTTCCTACCTACTGATTGATGATGCTGTGGATTTATCTTCAACCCAGCATTAAGCAGTTCCTGGTGGCCTTTGCAGCTTACTGTGATGCTAACTTTTTAATTCTTCCTTCCTTCCTTCCTTCCTGTGCTTACTGTGATGCTAACTTTTTAACCATTAACATTGCAAAATCTAAGATTCTGGGGTTCTATAAGGCTTGAAAGATATTATACTGGACATTACAGATCCATACCTTAGAACAGGTTAAAGAGAATAAATATGTGGAATTAAATTTTGGGTATACTGCTACATGGACTATCCATCACAAATATGATCTTAATATTAATATGGACCCTCTGCTACTTAGGGTTTTAAAGCAAAAAAATGAGTGCCCAACTACTCTAAAGCATTCCCGTTTGGATCAGAGTGTATAATTCTGAGGCAGAGAATCTACAAATCACCTTTCTGCGTCGTATCCTAGGTGCTCCTAATTGTGTAGGATGCACAGCTGTATACTTAGAAGCTCATATTGGCCGATCAGAAACCAGAGCATGGATCCAGACCTTAAAATTCTGATTGCAGATACTCTTCTTAGCTGAGCGCTATGGTTATGTGTACCCTATGCTAACTTATTCCTACACCCGGCAAGCTGCTGTCTCTGATCTAACCTATAATTAGGTCCTTGGATATGCCCCTTGATTCTCTTGTTATGCTCAGACAGCAAGACGCCTATAGAGAACTTGCCAAGAAACTTTATGATATTGAGAAAAAAAGAATTCTTCTCTTTAACAAACTGAACCTGCTCTCCTTTGGCAAGTGGTGACCTTCCATCATATGGGACTCCTGCTAGCTATTTAACTATGCTATGATCACCCTGGGCCTGTAGAGCATTTATGTTTGCTTGAGTCAATGCTTTACCCTCAGCCTAACACCGGGGTAGATTTCAGCGAATAGCTCACCAAGAAAGATACTGCCCATGTAAGGTCAGGCTCCCCAGGTGTTTGTCACATAGTTTTTTTTTTCCTATTACACATTTTAGGAACCAATTAGGAACAATCTGATTCACCCCTTGCTGCCTAAATTTCAAGGTTGCTCAGATAGTGGCTGGTCACATATTGCCTGTCAGACCAGAACTCTGATATAATGGTTCACGTGGCTAATTTCTTCCTGGCTGCAATACATACAAGGGCTGCATTGCTTGCTGGTGCTTCATCATTCTGTTTCTTGTTCTTTCTTTTTGCATTCACTGTCTTTATGTACTTGTAGGGTTCATGTGACCACAATAAACTGCTGATTGCATTTTGTACATGCTAGATAATAAAGTGGCCTAAGCAATTCTTTTTTTTTTTTTTAGTTATATGCAGACAACTTATGCAATTAATATTATAGCAACTCTAATAGGGTTTTCACAGCATGTGAGATACTTAAGGAACAATTTTATCATTGCCATTCCCCCCCTCCCTCACTCTCTGCAGTGAAGTGAGTATTCAAACCAAGATCTCCTCCTAGTGCATCACTCTATCCACTGCTCCATACTGGCTTTCAAAAGATTTGATGCTGTCATTTAAATTTTGGATGTGTTGCAGACACACACAGATGTGCACACATGCACACACACACGCACGCACACACACACACACACACACACACACACACACACACACACACAAATGCACTGTTTCTAAAACTGAGATTATGCAGCTAATGAGTCATCCTTCTAGTTAACACAGCCTTATCATAACACTACAGTGGACTATAGTCTCTATTTTTTTCTGTCTTATTTTGCCTGCCTTCATACAAAGAGAGTACACAGACAGAGGAACATTTAACCATTTGTAAAATTTGCCACAATATGCCTTCTGCATTTTAGAGCTGGATCACTGTAAAGAGACGTCTGCTCCATAATATTCCTGCATTAATTTACAGAAGTATCACTGCAGCAGTATATAATGAAATTGCTGTGTCATCACACATTTGAGAAAACTGAAAATAGGACTGTTTATTATTTCTGCTTTTTCAGTCAGCCGTTGTGAGCTGTCAGCTTTCCTGAAGCACAGGGGCAAAGCTTTTATTCTTCACACTGGTTCTGATATTTCTGACCTGTTCAACTATGGCTACAGAAGTTATCCATTGAGCAAGCACAATGTGGGTTTACATGTGGCAGAGCCATGGCAGGCAAACAAAACGCATCTGACATACCACTGAACTGGGCAAGGGTATACAGAGCAA